TTTTATAATTTTTATTAGTCATTTTGTAAACTAGGACTTGATTGTATTCTTTTCTTACTTTAATAGCTTTAGTTGCAATTATTATTTTTAGGGGTATTTTTGGTAGTTTATATGGTTGAATAGTAAAAAGGGGTATTTTGGAAAGGCTATTGCTAAATTTTGGGTATTTTCAATAATTTCCCCTTCAATGTTCGGTCAATCCAATGAAATAACAACACAACAAACTCAGCCTTGTTCTAGATAAATTGACTATATACTTTCCTTTTCACTCCTCCACTTGTTCATTATTAAATCTCAATGTAGAAGAGTTCTTCATGATTTTTTACACTCCAGTAAACTTGGGAAGGTGAATTGTTATCAATACTAATAATTTTCGGAAGTACTACTTCTAACGTGCTATTAGCTCGAAGAAATTGGACTGACTTAATGGTAAATAACTGCACATGTCAGAGTCAAAAGACATTGGTTTATAGCCATATATACACAAGGGTTAAATCTTACTTCTATAGACCTTAAAAAAATACTTAAAGTAAGACAACATCTCAGTTTAATACCTCGACGTAAAAATAGAATCACTTGACTCAATTGAAAGAGCGAAACTTAGAGCTTTTACTTTCTATTAGATCAATCCGAATTGACCTAACACAAAGCTCATACAAAACCTGCTAGGACAAGTTCGATATAAAGAATTTATAAAATTGGCCACATGACCATTTCTACTCACCTTTACAAAGGGTCAACACTTCCTCATAAATATAAGGGCACCTTAATATACCGTACAGAATTAGGAGGAATATGATTTGTAATAATAAGGGTAAGGAGAATAAGATTAGAAGTAAATTAAGGTAGATTACGGTTGATTGTTTTAATATCACGTTTGGTGTTACACTTATTAAAATAAAATATTTTTTATTTGTAAATATTTTTTTCCAAATTATATGTAAAATTACGATGTTATTACTAGTAATGAAATTTCACTAATTTTTCTTAATTCATAAATGATAAATAAATAATACGATTTAAGTGCAACTCAATGTATTAAAGGGTGGGCAATTTTATGCAGAACCACCCGATTCAAACTAGAATCGATCCGAATAAGATGATTCGATACAGGGCTAGTTGAAATCAGTTAATTAGGATTTCGTTCTTGATTCTAACTAAATACCCAAATTTTGATTCGGGTGAATCTTAATTTATATTGTTTCATATATTTTCAAAATAATGGAGAGTTTAAACGTTAAAAATATATATTACGAAAAAAAAATATTACATTTAACACTTCAAAATTTATTTTTGATGCATAAAAATACTGAATCAAACCCGACCATAACTATTTGGGAACCATGATTCCATTACACAATTCCCAAAGAGAATCAACATGACCCGATTTGATTCTCAAGATACTCAAACCAAATCACCTGGGATCCACTCCTAAATGTATTAATTTTATTTGGTTGACAAAGGGAAGATAGGCGCCCGAATTCAATTATTATGGGTATTAATTAAAGAGGACTAAGTTGAATTATGCTTATCCGGTTTAATACAATGCACTATATGTGATGTATGATGAAATAATGAGATCGATTAACATAGATGAACTTTATTGACCATATCATTTAACTCACATAAAAATCATCTTCAATTTTGACGGTTACTTTAATTGCGTTCAATGTCCCGTGAGGTGTACACTATTGTACCAAAATAGACGAAGGGAGCATAGGCACCCGAATTCAATTATTATGGGTATTGATTACACCTAATATCGAGTGAGGACTAAATTGAATTTATGCTTATCGGGTTTAATAAAATGCACTATACTTGATGTGTGATGAAATAATGAGATCAATTAACGTTATGAATATGACAGGAACTTTATTGACTTCTTATCATTCAACTCTTCAATTTTGACCGTCACTTTAAATGCTTTCGATATCCCTACACTATTGTCACAAAATAGACAAATGGAGGATAGGCAAACGAATTCAATTATTATGGGTATTAATTACAGTTCGGGTGAGGACTAAATTGAATTTATGGTTATCAGGTTTAATCCGATACACTATATATGATGTGTGATGAAATAATAAGATCAATTAACGTTATAAATACGAGATGAATTTTATTCCCTATGAAAATCATCTTCAATTTTAGTCCAGTGAGGTGTATGTTATTGTACCAAAATACGTCCTCTTAAGATTTTGCCATGTGGACCAATTGTGATTAAGCATCCTATTCATACCATTTTCTCCTGCACCTTAACGCACATAATCTCTCTCTCAATGCTATATATACTGTCCATGTCCCTCACGTTCAAGGGTCGAATTTCTACAGGCCTTTGTCTCTGTCTTTTCGCTTCTGTTTATTCATTCAATAAACAATCAAAAGGGCAAAAAGGAAAAAAGTCCAATGGTCTCCAACTCGAGCAATTCTGCTTCAAAATCCAAAGTCAGTTGCTTATTCTTGATTCTTGATTTTTTTTTTTCTAATTTTTACTACTGAAATTATTTTGTATGTAATTCAGTTACAGTTGATCACAGCTAGAAGATTGATTTTTATTTTTGTTTCTGAATTTATTTTATATCTCCTACAATTTAAGTTGTGATCAGTGTTTAACTATTGCTGTATGTCTTTTTGTGTTGTAAGCTGGAATTGAGAAAATAAAAAATAAACAAGAGAATCTGGAGTGTTTACTTGAATTCAGACTTCATTTACTTTTATTTTTTATTTTTGCACAGAAATTTCATGGAGAACAGGGGACTGATGCTGTGGGAAACTTGACTTGTAAATTAACTCAGCAGAAAAAGCAGATTCAATCTGACAGAGTTGTTTCAATTAAAGTAATTTGCTTTCCAAATGAACTCTCTCTATTTTTTATTATTATTATTTTTTTCAAAGATACCATTTGTGTATTCATGTATAGTTCTTGTTTGATCTATTTTCTTGTAAAAAATATTTATATTCATTTCTCTGAAAAGAAATCCTTAATTTGGCCTTGGATTTATATCATCAGATTGCAAGATTAAGACATTGAATTGAAATCAGTCATTCTTAATGCTCTACTGAGTTTTATTGTTGTTTCTTTATGACTTTGGATTAGTTCCTGATTTTACATTTTGCTGGGATTGGTCTTATAGATATCAACTGTCATGCTAAAAATTATGATTATTACTTAAACCTTAAGTCTATATGTTGATAGGCATGATGTTTCTAAAGTTCAGATTTCTTAAGAAAATTGATTTTGTTCATGTGCATTTTAAACTCTTTTGTGTGGGTGTTTAGCTAAGTTAAAAAGTTTATTTGTAAGTGATTGAGTATGTTCTAAATTAAATAATTTGGTTGAAGTTGCTAATAAGTTACTTATTTTAAATATAAGGTGAGAATTACTCTCGTTACTTTCAAAATAAGTAAGTGTTTTTACTTTTCCAAACAAGTCTTGGGAACAAAAGGTCACTTAAAACTTTTAAGTAACCTTTACCTTTATTTTTAAGCTTAGCCAACATGTTATTTTATGTGTTGATAATGTTACTTTGAGCACTCATGGTTCTTACCTTCTTATTTCATTAGGCAAAAGTTGAGAAAAACAGAAAGAATCTTGAAGCTTGTGTTTCTGAGCTTGATAAATTGGCTGCATCAAGGAATGATGTTACCATTGCAAAGAGCAATGATTTGGGCAATTCCCTTTCTTTCCGAATGGGCAATCCTCTTTCCAAAGTTAGTGGGGTTTTTCACGGATATGGAGATAGAGATTATGTGAACACTGAAGAAATTGTGGTTTCTGCAACTGCCAAGCTTCCATCTATTCAGAAAATACCTCGTTATACTACTTGGATTTTCTTAGACAGGTACATGATCATCATACTTCTTCTTCGGTACAATGTTTGTTTTTTTTTTTTATGTGGTCAAGTTGCTCTTTTTTTTTTTTTTTTTTGTGGGTAGGGTTGGGGAGGTGTCTCCAGTGGGAGGGGATTCATAATAGTTAGTTTTGGTCTTTATTTTACATTAGGGGATTAATAATATTTAATTTCGGTGTTTATTTTTAATATGCGAGGAGATACTTCTTGATAGAGCATCACAAAAACCATTCGGATGATATGAGTCTTTATAACGTAATGTCCCCTGTGCTTTTTTCACATCGTTTTGAGACGTAAATGCTATATAATGCATGGGGTTGCATTTTATAGATCAAAGGTGACACACATCATTATGTGGGTCGGTGGGTGTGAGCATATGGAATACCTTGATCTTAGTCATGGTACAAGCTGCCACGAAGTATATAATTGCAGTAAGTAGGGGGTGATTCCACTTGAGAACCACAATGCAATTGTCATTGGCACAGAAGTCCCATATATTGGGAAGGAAATCTATAATTTAGGCTGTTTGCATTCTAGATGTTATAGTATTAGTAGTGAGGATATTGTGTTTATCAAAACATAACATAGAGTTTCACTCTTCTGATATTACTCTCTACGTCCTAAGGTTCAAATTGAACCCAACAAATCTTTGACTAATATGTTACATTATTTCTATTATTCTAATATTATAACATTTCAAATGGTATGTGTATGCACAATGCTCTTCAAACATGATATACACTTAGGGCATGTTCGGTAGAGATTAAAATTGAAAAACTAGTCGTTATTGTTGACTTTTATTAGATGGGTGGGACCAATAACGACTATATTTTCAATTTTAATTGGATTTTAATCTTTACTAAACGGGCTCTTAACTACTTAATTTAATCAGCTTTATGTCCTATTAGTTATACCCTCAAATCCAAACTTCGCAAACATTTTTTAGTAATAAGCATGATTAACTCCAGAGGTTCCCTGATGGTCAGAATATCAATATGATGTTGTTAATGGTGCAAAACTATAGTTCATAACTTATCATTTTGGCCCTGCAATACCAGGCTGAAGTCACCAGTTTTTTTTTTTTTTTAATTACTAGACTTTTCCTTGCTGAATCAGGCTGTTGAATGATTTATTGGTTTCCTAGACATTATTTCTGGACAATAATGCTTTTTACATCTCCATTTTCCCTTGAAATCAGAATGAGTTTCACCATGCCTTCTTGCAATTTTTTCGTTCTTTCTTGAAATAAAGATTTTATTTTCAATTGTTTTCTCAAGTTTTCTTCAAAAAGAACAGAAATCGGAGAATGGCTAATGACCAATCAGTAGTTGGGAGGAGACGGATTTACTATGATCGACATGGTGGTGAGGCACTTCTCTGCAGTGACAGTGATGAAGATCTTATTGAAATGGAGGGTGAGAAGCATGAATATTCTGAGGGAGAAGACCGTATTCTAAGGTCAGTTTGTCTAAGATGCTAATCTAGCTCCTAAGGTGTAATTTCAAATTGATTCTCTGGTTAAAGTATTGTAGTGACAGTAATGCTCCCACATTGCTATCTGAGATAATGGAACATTGGAACTTATAAATCGGATTTACGGGAAATGCACTAAAATGGATTTACTAAATTATGAAACGTATTATTTCTATCTTCATTTCTGGCATTTGAATATATCTCTATATTTAGGAAATGGTGTCTCGTCCTTATCTATTTGAACCAAGGATATTGTGTATTTCTTACCATATTAAGTGGCAGGATTTGAATTGATTGTCCGATAAAATTAATTTAGCTTCCTTAAAAGAAATGAAGAAAATATTCTTGTCAAAATTGGAATTCGTTCATGATTCTGTTTGGTCAAGTTTGAAAACTTTGACTCTGCTGAGTTTGCCTAATTAACATGCTGAGTAGGTAAAATCTGTAAACTTAGAAAATTCTTTGATGCTAATGAATATGCATTATTTTGATTTTGTAGGATAGCTCTTCAGGAGTATGGGCTACGTGATGAGGTACTCAACACCTTGACCCAGTTTGTTGGTGGAACCTCTGAAGAGATCCAGGTTATAAAGTTCAAAATCAAGAAGATTTTAAAAGAAAAACATTTCCTTTTTTAAGTATAGCATTTTCTTGGTTATGGATGACTGCAATATATCTTCAGTTATTGCAGTTTCTGTTTGTTTACAATCATCTTCTTTATTCTTCAGATGAATTCATTCCCGTGATATGCAGGAGCGCTGCAACAATCTAAAGGAAATAGATCAAATGGCAGAAAAACAGAAGTCTGTAGATATTGAGTTCCTGGACAAAAGCCTGACTGCTGCTCTACATTCATTTGATTTTTATTTTTGTCGTCGTTGTTTGGTACGTGGTCGTAGGATACGTGAATTCCACTGTATGGAAGATACTTTTACCATCACTCTGGTGATGAATAGCAAATCATGCTAAATTGACTATTTCTTTTTGTTGCTTAACAGGAATTTAAGTGTGGCTTGCATCCGTGCCCACAAATTCTTATTTATTCTGTAAGCTAAAACTTCTTTCAGATTCTTTTGGATATCTGACGTTTATCCGTTGATTTAAAGGATTTTTGGTCAACAGAGGGAAAAGCAATCCTACACATCTGATTCTCAAGAGGGTGGGAAACCTTGTAGTGATCGGTGTTACCTTCAGGTATGGCTTTCCATGAGAATCTGGAATAGCAATGAGGCTCTACTTTGAATGTAATAGATGAGATGCATAAATCTTTTCCTATGAATAGGGTTTGGGGTTGGAAGTTCCAAAATTTTCGTATCTATCAATTCAGTCATAACTATTTTTGTCGGAATTAGTGTCTAGCCCATGGTAGGAGTTGACAGCGTTACATATCCTGCCTGTGGATAATTTAAATCAGTTGCCTTTTATTCAAACCAAACTGTGTGCATTTTAGGAACAGGGTTTGTTTTTATCTTTACCTTGTGACTGAAATATGATAAATAATTGTTTGTGCTAAGCTTAAAATTTAGAACTTCATTGGGGAAACCCAGTAGTTATAGTTGTTCTAGTCTTTTATATAATAAAAATGGGATTTAAAATCACAAGAGTTTCTTTGCACGTGTACAAATTTAGTGTGTATATGCTCATTGCTTGCAGAAAAGTATTTGTGTAAGTTGAAAACATTTGAGTATGTTGTCCATAGAGGAACATAATATTTAGAGCTTCAAAGTTAAGATACGGAACTTAATGGTAGTCCATTATCATGCTTCACTTAATTGTTTTGATGGCTAAAAAAATGTTATTCTGCATGTTGTCAACTTAGGTAACTCAATGGTTTTTCCTGTATGGCAAATTTTCTTTTGGTGTTTTTAGTTGAACGTTTTAAGAGACTTGCCCGTGAGTTCATCCGTAGATCCCTTGCAAATACACCATCAAGAATTCCTAGGAGAGTGGAGAACGTCACAGCCTACAAATACATTGGCTAAAATCTCAAAGATTGTTTCTGATGACTTGCTAAGTTCTTCCAGTAAGAAACTGAAGTTGGCAGCACCTAATTCTATGGACCTTAACCCAAACCCAGTTGGCCAGGATGTGGAAATGGTTGAATCCAATGAAGATGAACGCCAGGTGGCGACCACTGATGTAGTGCATATTTTACATAAACAAAATCCAGATGAACTTCGTCGTCCTTTACCTATAAGTGGAAATAAGGTCAAGGACTATACCAGTGATAAAGGGAAAGACATTGCAGAATTACCTTTGAAGGAATGTTCAACTAAAGGTTCACACAGACATGATGAGTGGAGACCTCTAGAGAAAGACTTGTACTTAAAGGGGATAGAGATTTTTGGAAAAAACAGGTATGAGGATCTATTGTTTTCTCTAGTTTTTTCCTTGCGTTGCCAGTTTATTGGAATTGCTTACAAATTTATTTAAATGCATGTCACGTGAGTAAATATGCAGATGAATGTAATATGATTTCAATCCTGATCACCAATTAAGGTACCAAATATCGCTTATAGTAGCTTGCTTAGGTAGCGAGTTCTTATTTCCCCAAGAGTGGTGGAAGACAACTTGAAGAGGCATGACTAGAAACACATATGGTACCTTCCAGTATACAGGCAAACTTTCAAAAAGAGAGGATGATTGTATTTTATAGAATGCAAACCATACTTATTTTTGTCATTCTTCATTTGATTATTACTCTGGTACTTCTATCCACGTAAGGCTTAATCAATTCCTGCTAAATTAAAGCCATTAAGTTAAAAAACCAAAATACTAGAACGAATAGCTTGAAGTTTAGAAGGCAGTTGAGTTGGGGGCAGAACAGCAGAACCACCAAGTTGGCAGTGATAAGGAAGAAATTCTGAATTGTACAAATATCACCTTGCTGCTTGTAAGGCCATATAAATCATGAATCATTCTTTTCTCTAGTCCTTTTCTTTTTGCCTTGGACAGAGGTAGAAATTCATAACACTGTTAGTCACAATTACATTGTAGTCATACATCACATATAGCTAATTCACACCTCATGGATCGTAGTTGCCTTATAGCAAGGAACTTGCTACCTGGTTTGAAGACTTGTGTAGAAGTATCCAATTATATGCGGAGTGATGGAGCAATAATTTCTCGTGGATCTTCTTCTGCGCTGAACCCACTATTAGAAGATGTTGGAAAAACTAACATGGATACGGTTAGTTATTATATCTTCCTATCCTTTCCTCCAGGCAAGTGCACAAGTCAGGTGTTCCCAATTTCCTGGAAACTGAAAACCTGACTTACAGTTATGTTTGTTAACAGCTCAAGATTTCTTATATTCTACAAATTGACGATTTCAGTTTTTGGAGAAATATTAGTTTTAAGGTTCTGAATCACAAGTGACTATCCAATACGTTTAATCAAAGTTCAACGACATTGGTTATCTTTTTAACATATATATTACATTTCAGGCTTAACCCTTTTAATTTAATCTTACAGAAGTGAACTTTTTTTCTGGATTTCCTTTGATATGATCAGAAATATCATACCAAAATCAGATTTTTTGGGAGTGAATGAATTCAACTTTAAAGTAACTTCATTTTATTTACATTTATGCATGTCCTGTCTTCTAAATTCAATTATAAAATTAGGAATTTACAAAATTTCTAGAAAAATTTTCTACATCTGCTATTAAGATTTGTCAGAAGAGTTATTTTCGTTAAAGTGACACCTGTTAGGATTTTTTTTGTCTTGTAACCTTTGTATGCGTGCTCCCTGTATTGTTACAATTTTCTTCTCAGTCAAAAGTAAAGGCAAAGAAACTTCACTCACCCTTTTCTTTGAAATTAATGTTTTTGAACCTGTATGCACCAAGTTAGCAACACCCCTTGCTACTTTTATTCACATTTATCGAGTTCTATGTTGGATGCATTAGGAGTCGGAGATGCCAGTGAGGTCACGAGTTTATCGTAAAAGGGGAAGAACGCGGAAGCTTAAGCCTTCTTGGAAGTCTGCTGGCCACCCATCACTCTGGAGAAGAATTGCAGATGGGAAATACCAGCCATATAAGCAATATACTCCATGTGGATGCCAGTCTATGTGTGGAAAGGAGTGCCCTTGTCAACAAAATGGAACTTGCTGTGAAAAATATTGCGGGTAATTCAATTTTAATTCATTCAATTCTTTGTGAGAATATAATATCATGTTTACCTTGGTCAATTATCAATTCATATAGAATGGTATTGTGCTTTTGAATTCTACTACAGTGATTGGTTCATTGAGTCAATTTCTATTGAAGTCCATCAGTTTAAACAGAGTACGGAAGCGAACTTATTATTGTTAAACCACTTGAACTAAAAAATTAAGCAGTTGAATATGACCACATGTACATCATTTAAATATTATTTTTAATATACACCCTCACAGTGTTTATTCATCAAAGCCTAACACTTGCATAATCCATTTTTAAATGGATGGTGACGAGATTTAAACTCAAGATCTTTTCTTGCTCTAAGTTGAATGTGTATTTTTGTTGTTCTGTTCAAATCATGAATCCATACAATCATATAGCTGTTTGTTTTCTACAAAACGGAAAAAATAACTTCTTAAAATACTGCCCTAAAGCTATGGGATATTCTCAATCTCAGCCTTAATATATACATTAGAAATCAACTAGTAATCAGCCTTAATTTAAGAAATCAGCTAAGAATCAGCCTTTGAATTCCCATTTTGTAAGGATTGATTTGTCAACAGTTATGATTAGTAAACCAATACCATCTGAAAATGAACTACTGATAGATTTGGGGTTGATTTTGTTGGCTTCAGTCTAGGAGTCTGCTTGTTGCTCAAACTGGTTGAGGATAAATTAAGGTAATGTTGACTTAGGCAATTGAGGGACGTCCTGTGTAGGCCTAAAGAAAATCATTTGCACAAGACTGATGCGATCACAGTAGAATAGATTAAAATAGAGAGAGGTACATCGAAATCAACACGGCTTAATGTGTTAGTAAGGTGTCTAGGTGCATTGGATCTTCTAGATGTTGCAATGAAACAATGAAATGAAAACAAAGGATTAATGTAGCCGACCCCAAATTCACTGGGAATAAGGCTTAGTTGTTCTTGTAATATGCTTGTTCATCCTGTTTACTGCAAAAACTCGCCACAAATGGTAAGTTTGCTTAACACACTTTTAGCTTGGAACATAACCCTAAATATAGATGCATTAGGTAACTGTTGAGGTAAGACTCGTTGTCTCAATTTCAATTTTTACAGCACATCACTGTAAAATTTATTCAGTTTCTCTAATGGGTTGTTTGACAAAGCTTTTAATAAAAAAAGTAGCAGATTTTGATAAAAGTTGATGAAATATATAGTTGAAAAGTTGATAAGAGTTGTTGGTTCAATTAAATGTGTGGTTGAACTTGAAGTTTGACCAGCTGAAAAGTTAATGAAGTTTTATCAAACAAGGGCTAATTCTTCTGAAGATATATAATATGCTAAGGGGCAGTGAGATGTTAGAAAAAGATAAGTAGCTTCAGTTTGTAGGATCATTAACACTAGCATGTAGATTTTTTGCACTTGCAACTTGATGAATCTGAAAGAAATAAGATGTTAATCTGTAGCTGTTCAATTTTTTCAGGTGCTCAAAAAGCTGCAAAAATCGTTTCAGAGGATGTCATTGTGCTAAGAGTCAATGCAGAAGCCGACAATGTCCTTGTTATGCCGCTGGACGTGAATGCGACCCAGATGTTTGCAGAAATTGCTGGGTTAGGTATGAAGTTCTCATTTAGCAACTTATATATATTACTTCCTTTTCACGGGGAACCATTTTCTTTCCCCTTAATGTGCTGATCTTATAGGCGTCTTCACTCTGATAATCACTGAGAAACTGCCATTTTATCACGGGAATAAATTTTTTCACCTTTAGCAGTGCCAATCTCCATAAAAAAGACCTGCCTTTAATGGAGAAGGAAAGAAAAAACCATATTGGTTTTGGGATGTGCATTTGTTGCATATACCAGAGATACTGTTACCAATTTGACCTCCTATTAGGGCCAAATGTACTGTAATCATCTGTCGAAAAAAAAAGGAAAAAATTACAGTAGTTTCTGTTGTTTGTCTTTGAGTGCCGTCCAGAAAATTTTCTACTTCTTTTGCAGCTGTGGTGATGGTTCACTAGGTGAACCACCAAGGCGAGGAGAAGGTCAATGTGGCAATATGAGGCTCCTTCTCAGGCAGCAGCAAAGGGTAAAATTTTGAATCTTTTACTCACCTATCTCTCTTCATTTGATTTTCTCAAAATTGGCTATCTAATCCTCTTTTTGTCAGATCCTCTTGGCTAAGTCTGACGTTGCTGGTTGGGGAGCCTTTTTAAAGGTAGGAAAGGATGTGTGCTTTTCTATCCTTATTGTTGGTTGCCTGTGAAGTTTTCATGGTAAATTGGACATGTATTGGCAGAATTCTGTCAGTAAAAATGATTACTTGGGAGAGTATACTGGTGAATTAATCTCTCATCGGGAAGCAGATAAGCGAGGAAAAATCTATGATCGTGCAAATTCGTCATTCCTTTTCGACTTGAATGATCAGGCAAGTAAAGTCTCTCATTTAAGGATATTCTGATATCTTTGCATATTATCCGTTGTATCCCAATAAAGGTTTTTAACCATGTATTAGGCTTATATTAATTACTCTCCACATCCTGTAATTCACTGTTTGCATTTTCATGTACTTTCTTTCTCATTACTAAGTAAAACCAAAACAGAGATCTAATTGTTGTGTTCTGTATGCAGTATGTCCTTGATGCCGGCCGCCATGGCGACAAACTAAAATTTGCAAATCACTCGTCCACTCCAAACTGTTACGCGAAGGTGTTCATTTTTCAATGATCTTCAACTGCAGTTTCCATGATGTAATTGAGCTGATATAGGATCGTTTCTGCAGGTAATATCAGTGGCCGGTGATCATCGTGTTGGCATTTTTGCCAATGAGCATATTGAAGCTGGCAAAGAACTCTTCTACGATTATCGTTATGGTCCAGATGAAGCACCTGCATGGGCACGGAAACCTGAGGGTTCAAAGAGAGATGGTTCACCAATTCCTCAAGGCCGAGCCAAGAAGCACCAATCTTGATGAGGTGCCATCGTCATGGTGCTTTGTCTGTGGTCATAGGCAATTTCTCAGTCTCATTTAGACAACATATATGAAATTCATGGCTGAGCCATCTTTAATTGGTAATATTTATATGTTTTTATGCGTGCTTCATTAATGCATCGTGGGAAACGGACAAACGGATGGAAAACTGAGTCCATTACAGATATCAGAAATAAGAGTTTGGCCTACTTCCATGTTTGTTCAGATTCTGGATGATTAGCTATTTGTAGTAATTTTTTACTTGACAAACAAAGAAAAATTAAGCCTTATTTCGGATAAAATAGTATTAATTTTGCATGCATGTTGACGATAATTTGACTATAAAATCCTGCCAAGTGATGTGTTATCACTTGAGGGATTCGGCCTGAGAACCTCTCCGAATCTGGCCTTCTGGTTTTTTTTATTTATGGAAGGAAAACAAAAGGAAAAAGAGATTTTATGATCTTACAGAAGTTATTCTAATAATTCACAGTACATAATTACTTTCCTGGTGTTGGAGTATTGGAGTCTTTAAAAGAGAAAATCATTAGGAATTATCCTTGTTTGTTGCTTTGTCATTTACACATTGTGTTAATAATGCCCTGGTTGTTAGGGTAATCTGTTTGTTTTGAATTGGTCTTAGATCACTTCCCACGTTCTCAGATGTGGTGAACATGGACCTTATTCTGTTTTGATTTCCCTGTAAAAGGATTGTATAAAGCCAGTGTTTTCTTTGCAATTTAATATCACGTTGTCAGGAGCCTTTAAACACTTTGAGTTCTCACAAGAAAATTAAGTCATCAGCGTGAATCTTGGTTTTTCTCACGGCAATTTCTGGATATCATTTCCCATTTAATAAATCCACTTGTCTATTTCATTTCTGATTTCATTATTACTTACGGAGGGATCGAGGACCAATCCATAGCAAAACAAAATTAACAATGAAAAACGATTTTCCCTATGGAAATAATACATATATTATAATTCGTGTAGACATAAACTTCCGCATTCCTGCGGTTAACGCTCACATATTACTTCACAAGTGTGAAAAGGCAAAAATACAAGAAGAAAACAACAATGACCCTTCAACTACACCCCACCTAAAAAAAAAAAAGGGACAAGAACAAGACGTCACATTTAATTAACCAGAAAAATCAGCCTCAACAAGCACATGCTTTCTCCTAGGATACCCTAAACCAAATATGTGGTTTAGGTATACCTTCCCATCCTTCACCATTGCTGCAGTAACTAAACGATGAGTAGCACCTTTAAACTTGGCCACAACAGAGCCAGTCTCCCAATCATCCAAGCTCTCGACCAATTTTGAAGGGTTTCCTGCGACCACAAGCTTAGTAGGAGATAATAACTCCAATCCATCCCCGAATTTCAAAGAACCTTCAATTATCTTAACCAACTTCACTTCATCCCCCTTTCCAATTTCAACCTTGTACAAATTCCCGGAAAATGTATGAATCACTAACAAGTATCCATTTGGATGGTGAACAATTCCATTAAGTCCAACCAAGTTATTGTACCACTCTTTTGAAGTGAAACGTGGGTTATTTATGTGGTATAAGAATTTTCCATCCACTCCAACCTTCCAAATCTTGCTTCCTTTTACATCGGTTACATATGCATTACCTTCTGGATCAACCGCTACATCATCTGCAAACGCTTTTCCATCCTCTGCATAATCAAAGATCATTGGAAATACTGTTTATCAATTCCATATTCATTCTTAAGATAATGTTTATAGAAATCCCTCTAAAGGTTGATGAATAACAGATCAATGACATATATATTCTCAATATTGTCTTCTCTACAGAAAAAAGTTGTAGCACAGCACAAAGGAAACTGGACCACTTCACGAAGTCCCATGATTCCCTGCCTTGAAGGAAAGTTACACTTACTTTGTAATACAAATGGCTGCAGCATGTACTTATTAATCTAATTCATTAAAATGGAGCCACCATACGGAATCAACTACTTTTGGTGGCCTAGTTTGCAAATTGAAAGGAAAAAATTAATGAATGCTGCACTATTAGTTGAGAGTAAGTTCAATGGGACTTCTTTTCCTCGTGTAATTAATTCATTTCGTTGAGTCTGATACCATCATCTACTCTATACCTTATCAACTTCAAAATCTTCGTCCAGGCAATTCTCAATCATAATTTAGTTCCTTGGTTAAGTCGGCGATTTTCATCGCCCCAACAAAAAAAAAACGAAGAAAATAGTTAGAGATAAAAAAAATCGTTTATGTAGGAATCAGTGAAAGCCAGAATAGATTATTTCACGAATCACGCTACACATTTCATTACCGTCTTTAACATATTCTTGTGAATACATATAATATGGGAGGGTTTATTATCACTCTCATTAGATTATTTTACTTGTTTGCCTCAACTTTTTACCATAAAAGGTTGTTCCTTCTTAGCGAATGACACTCCATCGGAGGAAAAATTTGAAAATGTAGCCCTTGTTTGGTACACATTATTTCTAAAATACATTCTTCTTTTTCTTGTTTTCAACCAAACATTCTTCATAAAATAATATTGCACGCAAATTCAAATCTTTTCCTAATTTTTTAACCACGCATTCTTCGTCGAATCACTATTTCAAAATGCGTTCTTTTACCAAGAATGGAACTCAAACATGATGTAGTATGAAAAATCACGGATTTAAGTATGAATCAAAATGATCGTAGCCGTCCTAATATTATTCAATCCTTTAAGAAGCAAATTCCATTTTATTATTCCAATTCAGTCCAATTATCTACTTACCAGTGTTCAACTTAGAGCACCACAAACTTGCTTCTTTCCAGTTATTAAAGGTATACATACTCACCTGGGCCACTGAGCTTAGTCAGAAAAATCCTTTCCCAAGTCGTCAAATCATAAGCCGCCACCGCACTGTACAAATTCCCAATCACATCGGCGATGGCTACAACCACACGACTCCTCGGCCTGTCCACTACGAACCCGAGCGACGAATTCTTACCTAAACCCACGTTTTCCACCACCCGAATCTCCTTCAAAATCTCTCCTGGAACATAGTCTTCCTTTACCGGAACCTCCCCAAAGCCGCCTTCCATGAAAGAGACCAGGAATCGGCGGTTAACTTCGTCCCACTTGGTGCACTCCCGTAACCATCCGGTGCTGTGATACTCGTATACATGAGTGGCGGGCTTGGAAGTTTCTAAATGAATTATGAACGCTACAGGAACTGCAGAGAGAAGAATAAGTAGCAGAAAAAATTTTGTAGAACAGAAGAAGGAAGCCATGACAGAAGTGGGAGAATGAAAAGTTCGAAGCTTTGGTAGTCTTGTAGATGATAGGGCGTAGGTGAGAATTCTATGGCGAACAAAGAAAAAGTTCTGTTTTTTTACAGAGAGTAGGTGAACGATAAAGAATCTTATAAAATGACAACGAGGCCACAATATGTACAGAAATTACTAGGAAGAAGACGAGGAGATAGAGTTTTGGATCTTTTTGTTGGGTTAATTTAGCAGTTGCATGTCACATTTATTTTCACCGTAAAATTTCAAGCAATATTTTTGACACCAATCCATGAATTAAAGTTCAAGCAATATTCAAAGTCGTTTTTTAATTCAAATACAATTTTTTTTTGTTTGATTCATATATTTAGTTTATCTGTCTAAAACTAATAAGTGTTTTGGTCATCAACCGTTCTTATGTTTTTCTTTTATAAAAGAAATACGTTTATTATTTTTAATTTATATAAGTTGAATATTCCAACTTCTAACTTTGTCAGTCAAATATTATATATAATCAAGATAACATTGAATTTGGAATAAGTTATAGCGACTATACATAACTCCTATTTTTAAAAATTATATTTTATAAATAACAAATTCATTAAAATATTTCAAAAATCAGGTGGTAAATAAATTTATTAAATATTAAAATATAATATAATATACATTAATTATTTATATACATGCCACCTCACCTACCACATCCATCACTCTACTACTCCACCTCTCCACCGGAGATGGCCATCAGCTCTAGCGATCACTTCGGCGTCCGCTTCTGCGACTACTCCGACATTCACTCCGGTAACTATTTCGGCGACCGCTCTGGTGACTCAAAGATTTCCAAAAAATTAAAAATTGAAAATCACACCCCACCCTCATGGATCCACCTACCACCACCTCCTAAAAAATTATCGAAAAAAAATTTGTGTTCAATGTGACTAACTGTGACCAAATTTGTGTTGAGTGTGACTGTATGTGACCAGGTCAATCTCAAGTCACAATCGGTCACAGTTAACAAAAAATCGATCACAATCGGTCACAATCAAACGACTGAGAAGGCAACTAACCTTACCACCAACACAATCCCCACAACTCTAACTACTACTGAAACTCAAACAATTGCGCAAGCCGTCAGCCCCTCCTCCACTACTAACACCCTCACCATTCCACTTATAGATCAAACCCAAACTCAAACACACAACCCCCGCTTATAGATGGCTAACTAGTCTAGTGCCACCTCAATTGGCCCTGAAAGCACGAGCGTCACCTCGTCGGAGCTCAGATCGCCACAACCATCACCTGCACCACCACTATCACCATCACCACCAACACCACCAAAGTGCATCGAATAAAAAAACTACCTACAAGAAAAACCACCAACAAACCACACACAACAAACCATTCTTCTCCCTTGACTATCGCCACATCAATATTTAGCTTATGAAAACCACTACCTAGAGGTGCCCATCTGACTAGAACTCTCTACTGACCCTCCTCATGTAGTTTATCTGGCTTTGCAAAGAACATATGCTTTCCCAAACAAATCAAGTGGTTCAAAACTGTAGTAGATTCACGGGGACGGAGATGGTTGTATCGGGGCGAAGCTGTTACGAGAGGCGGACAGAGGGAGGGAGGGAGAGAAGATACAGAGAGAAAGGAAGTGGGCTTCTGGGTTTGGGAATTAATTAATGGGGGTGGAGTGGGGGTGATGAAATAGGTAGATTTAAAATTTTATTAATTACAATTAATAATCCTAATTTCCACCTGATTTTTTAATTGTAATCTTGAAAAGAAGGGTTTTATGTAATTTTCTCTATGTTATAAGCACGAATTTGTCCTTTTATGCCACAGCCCAAATTAATTTCAGTGGTTCTTTGATTGGCCCACGTTGGTTATATGGTATTTCGTGTAGAGTGCCTTCAATGTAAACTAAAAAGAAATAGACAAAAATATGGATCCTTTTATGTTGGCTTGATAATTATTAGTACCCCGATAGCATTGAAATTTTTGTGAAGGAATTACATAAAATCATATTTTTTAACATCTAATTTCAAAAATCAGATTTAAAGTTTGTTTTTACAAAAATCAGATGTTAATTCAAATTTTTAATATTAATAAAATATTATAAATTAATTAACCTACATGGATATATTCTTTCTCTCTCTACCTGTATCTCCATTCTCCATTTCCCGACCTCTTTCTACCATTTCTTTACCGGCATTGATAAGTGCATTTTTATATATTTATTTTACTGTCAAAACATGAGCAATTGTTAATAATATGTTGAAATATAACTTAATTCTATGTAATTTATGTTTTGCATGACGAATGATTAATGTAGCGGAAATAAGAAGAAACAAGTGAAAAATAACCAAAATAGAAGAAAGTGAAAGTTCTGGGACNGAAAAATAACCAAAATAGAAGAAAGTGAAAGTTCTGGGACTAAAGTACAAATACTCAAAAATTATGTCGGGGCTCACGGTGAAGGTTCGAGAATGCTAAGGGTCGATTGGAAGTAATTAGAAGTCAAAAAGGAATTGAATATGATCAAAATCAATTTTCAACTCGCACAAGATATATTCCAGATTTTTAGCCGAAAATTGAAACTCATTTTTGGCATAGTAAAAGTCAGAATTGGAAAAGATATATTTCTAGAAAAGTTGTATCTCTTTGAGTTATCTTTTCAAGACATTTTGAATCTTCTAAATCA